GCTCTGTGTGACGTGTGTCTCCTCTGATGCTGTGAAGTGTGCAGCGCTCTGTGCGATGTAACTTCCTGAATTGCCTATGAGGCCTTCTGATAATTGCTCTGGTTAAAGGAATATTGTTTTAAAATGACCTGTGATTCTGTTTTGATTGTTTTGAACCTTTTGACATCTTTTGCAGGTTTCCACAGAATCAAAATCCTACATAAAGTCTTTTTGGGTTAAATACTTACATTTGGTACAATTGTCTGGGTAGCGTCATCAAATGATAAATGATACTAAATCTTCTTTCAGTTACATTTATGAGTATATTGATATAAAGTTTTTAAAATTATATACATTTATAAAAATGTAATATATTATCATTTTAAATTTTGATAATCTTCAATCTTATATTTATATGGGAATGTGATCAGTGTGAATATTCTAAAGAGAATATAAAATTTATAGGAGCCTGACAGTCCCAATGTGATGCTGTCACTCATGATTTTGGTTGTTTTCATATAAGGTTATGTGTAATACAAATAACTGTTTTCTTGTTGGTTAGAAGCTTTGAGTTTTAACTGTGGCTGGTCTAAAGTTTTGCATCTGCAGTCATTGTTCTGAATTATTCTCTGAACACATTGATAATCAGTTCTACTCCAAAATTGATTTTTATGGAAAGGACCCCAATAAAGATGGGTATAAAAAGGTGGGAAATATTAAAAGTACAATTAATGAAAGAATATTCAAAAGTAGTTCCACTTTGGTTGACTAGTTATCAGGCCTTTTCCAATCTGTAGTTACTGTGATGCTGTGAACTATGCAGCGCTCTGTGTGGCGTGTGTCTCCTATGAACTGCGCAGCGCTCTGTGTGACGTGTGTCTCCTATGAACTGTGCAGTGCTCTGTGTGACGTGTGTCTCCTCTGATGCTGTGAAGTGTGCAGTGCTCTGTGTGACGTGTGTCTTCTCTGATGCTGTGAAGTGTGTAGTGCTCTGTGTGACGTGTGTCTCCTCTGATGCTGTGAAGTGTGCAGTGCTCTGTGTGACGTGTGTCTTCTGATGCTGTGAAG